TCTCTGTTGCTCATTTATTTGGGAGCCCCATTCATTGCTACCCGGACTTGGTCACAATTCATTTTTTCCTCCAAGACATTACTATTATACTGGTTCAACCTGACCTTAGTTCTAACCATTTTCATTCCACTACGATAAAACCATGCTCTCGACTCTTCTGTCTCAATTCTCATCTCTTTCGCTTCTTACCAAAATTTCAGTCTAGCTGCCAATATACGTACACAGGTTTGTTTGAATCTTACGGAACAAAGAAATTCAACTCTGCTGACATAAATCTTCCCTGATGATTTATATAAACACTAGCTCGAGCTGGATTCGCTTTAATCATCCAGAAAATAACTTTTATTCTTTCATTTGTGTAAATGGCTGACTTGTTCATCAGGTCCTCGTATAGCCGTATCTTCTCCCGTCGGCTTCTTAAAAATAACTTATCTTTTGAAGGATATCTCCTTCACGTCTCAAATGCGGGGCTAGATAAATATATCTGGCCCATACTCTATGAGTTCCCAAAAAATGTCCCCCCAACCTCTTTTTTCTCAAAAGCCTTTGGTAAATAATAAAAAAGTCTTGTATTTTGGGATTCCGTCTCGAATTTGAGGCGTTCAAACTGCAAATCAACTACTTCTGCTTCTACTATTGAACCTACTGTTGGTGGCTGCATCATCCGTGCCCTCTTGTCATACAATTTTTCTTCTCCTACCAAACCTTGAACTGGCATCGCCACTGAATATGGCTTTACTTTGGTATATTGTACCATAGCTAATATTCTATATGGTGTCGCTCTCGTCGCGATCGTGAAATCCACTGCTTGTGCCGGTGGTCGCAATTTCTCTTGATGCAAAAATGAACTGACCTAAACTTGATTGTATATCGGTACATCCCTGCACTAATTACCTAATCTCGCTATCTGATACAATCTCACGTACACTGGGTCGAATGGGTTCAACAACTCCTGAGTATTCATCTGCATTATAATGGGCGCGGTATGGATCCACTCCTGATTCTGCTCTAAATCTACATCTAAAACCAGTACCGTATACCCTCTCTTTACCTGTCAAACTATATAGACTGCTTTATTGCAGTTTGCTAATAATCTTTTAAAACAGTGGGAAGTAGCTTTCAAGTAACGTGCTTTTGAATTTTTTTATTCAAGCAGACTCTGTTCTAAATGAGACGTAAAAACAGTAAGTTTTCAAAGGAATTTTAAGAAAATTGGTTGCTTATGAGCTTTTTATCTTTCTGTTACTCTTAACGTCTTACACGTATTTGTTGTCAAGCGCTGCGCTGCGCAATCTTTGTTGACATTTCAGCGCTAATGAAAATTTGGAGTTGAAGAGCGACTTCAGAATGAGGCAAAACGAGGCTAAAATCTTAGAAAACAGAGGAATAAGTCTTGCTGTGTTAATTTTGTGATGTTCTGTTTTTGTTTTCATCGTAACTTTCGTGCTCAAATTTGTCTTTTGGGTATTTGATATTTTTCAGAAGACGTACAACTGTCTTTATTGAAATGTCTAAAAATTTCAGGGACGTAATGAAAAATTATGCGGAGATTGTTGACAATCGAGTAGCTACAGTTAATAAGTGTTTTTAAAAATAACAGTTCTCTAAATTTTTGGTTAAGGAGCTGAGTACAGCAATACGTGCGGGATCCGATTGGCGATTGATGGAGCGACTGGCGCAGTAACCAGAGCGGTTGGCTACATAATGAATCCACTCAAAACTCGGCAGGAATAGAAATAGATACCTTTGTTAACCCACTAACTTCACATGAAAGTTTGCTTAACTTTTGCGTCCTTACATTAAGCATCAACAGATGATACTGTTCTTGGCTCGAAGACCGCATTCGTCGTCATAGAAATTAGTATTTAGATAGCTTGTTGAATAGTACGTGCTGAACCGGATGGAATGCTCAAACCATAAGATACTGTATTTACAGCAAGTATTTTAGGAGTAAAACACGTTATAAACACAGAGAATTATAATAAACAAATTATGTTTTATGTATGGCACAGACGACATAAACTGAAGAAGCAATGTGTATATTTTAAATGTGCGTCAGAAGAGTCAAAATATTACTTATGTTTTACAATAAGCGTTTACAGTACACACAGTAAAATGCGATGAATCGTTCAATAAATCTACAACACCTGTCATGCACATGAAAAGTATCGTATTTGCAGCATCCGCAGTACGCATCGATCGTGTAGAGCATGCCGTTCCCACAGTATTTCACTATACACTGTACCTAATAAATGTACCGTTTTCTACCGTTCACAGCAATCACGGCATTTGTGATATCCGTTAGATGTGTTGTATGTGTAGTCATTTCTACACTGCTGTAACCATGGTATGTATCATCTTCGTTGCGCGTTTAGCATGCGTCTCATTATATTTCTCGCATTTATCAAAAGCGTACTTTTCAAATTGTCAGTCGTCGGTACAGCATATTCTGCACTTGTTCAACGCTGCTGAATTACCTACCATATTTATCGTGATCCCTGCATGTATCCTAAGGTACCATCATGTATGTACGGTACTTTATGCATTTTTTTGTAACGCTTACATACCGTGCATCTGCAGTGAGGCAGAAGTGAGCAGTAATAACTTACATTAAAAAAACCAATTGCCCAAAATAGCTAAATTTTCAGAGAAGTTCACCGAATTGGCAACTACTCAGACTTTGAAAGGACTTTAAAATCCAACTAGTAGCTGGAACCGTGGCTAACATGCACGTAAACGGTCTGAAAATATATCCATAAAGTGCATATTGCACCATGTTGAGGTGGACCTCGCGTTATAACATACGTCAGAAATAGTAAAATGCTGTGACCTACCAAACTAGCTCAATCATAATTATACAAGTTGTGAGTAACGGATCAAATAATAAAAATGGGATAAAGCTGGTGTTAAACGGAGGCAAAACTTGCACACGAGAAGCACTAAAGCTTTTGTGCCAGCTGAGTACTAAATCGGATACGATCCAAGGAGATCAGAAATCGTTACCACTCTCTATAGATTCTTGGCTTAATCCACAACAGTAGGATACATACTCTGTAGAATCAAAATCTACTTATACTTACTCAAGACTCAACGAAAACAGGCAAGACCCGCATGATATCAGACTTTTAATTTCACTTTTGAACCATTTATTTACAAAAAATCAGAATTCCGTAGCTATTATCACAGCACTTACTGACTTAAAGGTACAGAATATTTTGAAGAAACTGCAATATTTTTCAAACAGTTATCATTGAAGATCTCCTGGTACTTCGTTCTTCTTTAACAATTTATCTGTTCAGCGAAAAAAGTAAAGAAGAATGGCGGAGGTAAAGAGTAGCTGAATCACGGAAAACCTTCCAGGAAGGATGAAAAGGCAAAGTATGCCCCCAAGGGATATACTAGGAAACGAGCCATGCTGAATGTTAAAAAAAGTAAAGGAGAGGACTATAAGAGTAGCAATGAGTACAGCACAGCCTATGTTAGTATTCAAAACAAAAGAGCAATAATGTTGCCATTTCTTGTACAATAATAGCAAAATTATGACTTTAGACGGAAGTAGCTTACGGAAGATTCTTTCAGAAACAACGCTAATGATTTTAGCGACACTTATGCAGCAGGTAAGGCAATTAAAATGCACAACAGCTTTAAACTCTCTTCGTACACAAGAAATTTACTAACAAGTTTTTCACTCTACGGGCTTAACAAATTCTCCTGTAGGTCAACTTTAGATCCCAAAACTGCCCAGTTCAAACTATTCATAAAAACTGAATACAAAGAAATTCTTGCTTTGTCCATAATCGCTCGCAAAATGAACGTAACTTAGATACCTACCTGTTGCACAGCAATAAGATCAATAGAAGAATTTAAAATTTCCTAAGCCACAGAAGTTATAAGCATACATCACTGCTGTTTTTCTCTGTGAGAAGTGACGAGATCTTTAGCAAGACTGGAAGTCAGACAAACTTCGCTCAAACGACGTACCTGTCATCCCACGTAAATATATCAAAGAACTGACACCCAACCCTCAAGATATATTCTGGAAAGATGTTCAAATTTCCGTAATAATCACGACAAGATCTTATTTTTCAGCCACTCGTCTGCTTGAAGCCCCAGCAAAGTATTGCCGCAACTTCCTTCCTTATACAAAGCTACTGCTCAAGTACGTAAGATTTCACCTTGTCCATTAATCAACTTTAATCAATATTTGAAAAATTCTGTAATCTTAACCGCCGGCCTCCTGAATTTTTAAATTAGTATAACTTAAAACCATTTTAAAAGAAATATAAACCGCATGAAGTAAAACCACATTTCATCACAAGCTCCAGACACTCACAAGCTTCTTGACGACTGTCAAATAACGTGTCAAAAAGAATAACCAGATGTGAAACAAAAAGGATGAGAAACATCAACACTTTAAAATGATGGCAAACAATGATTTATTGAGTAATAACCCAACTTTACACAGAAAAAAACATACAACAAGTCAAAACCAAAAATCTCTGGAAAAGACGGCTCAAAATGAATAAAGAAAATTATATTCAGTCAAAAACCTCTGGGTTCTCTAAAAGGCCGAATCAACAGCAGCGTGGCGGCAATAACCCAACATCTTGCAAAAAAAAACCCGTAAAGACATTTAGGAGTACAACAAATCCCCCTCCCACCAAAAAAAAAGGTGAGTTTTCCTTGCCTTCAAACTATACAAGACATTAGCAATCAAATATAATAAATTCAAAGTGCAAGCCTAAAAGTCTGGAATTTTACGTGTTAGAATACAAATAGTAACAAGCAACGACCTTCTTGTAATATAGAAAACCGAGGTGGGACGTATGCAATAAATAAAACCCGAAAGTTATAAACTGATATAGGTTTCAAAGTGCCACGGCAAACACATTGACGACGACAACAACCGACTTATTTTCCCACTGCACGGTAAACGAATCTTAAAAAAAAAACATGATTTAAAGGAATGCAGCATGATGAGTAATAAAAATTAAAACTTGTAGAACTCTGCTAACTCACGATCTGCCGATTTATCCCAGTAACAGGTATGAGCCACGCTAAGGCCAGCACCAGTTGTCGTCTGCATGATAACACAAGTAACTGAAAAGCGTGTTTGTAAGAGGTCTTGCCAAAATTACTTACTTTTGAATTGGCAAAAAGGGGTAAACAATAAGAACAGTGAGTTTCCACCTTGCACTATTTACTGCAAATCAAAAAAGCAACTCAACAAGTTTGGCATTTGTCTCAAATGGTGTATGAATCACAGGATCATTAAAAACAGTAAGAATACCACTAATAAAAAAAATAACAACTTATAACATAGCAGCAAATTTACAAATTATCTTTCCGCTAAAAATATCTTCCCAGCAGGTTGATAAGCTATGCAAAGCTTTAAAGAAAACGCCCAACTAAGCCATAAACAACAATTACTAATAAATAAAGTTGAAAAAATCTGGGTCAGCAACCAACGAAAAATAAAACTCACCAATGAATTTATAAGGTTTATTAAGTTTTACGAGACTAGTGGTAATTTTTTCTACAGCTTGCTGACTCCATTGGTTAGTCGTTTGATGTTGATAGGCGTCATTGCCAATAATCCTATTCAACGCCTTAACAGTCTATTAGTAGAAATATTACTCAAGACAATAATTTTGTAAATTGAGAGGGCCAGCCATGGGGAAAACTAAGAACCCATAAAACCATCCAAAGAGAGAAGTTTAAAAACTCGAAACATAGCAGGTTTTTAATGCATGCTTAACTTTGAACTAACCTCTTTGCTTATTGCCTGCACTTCCTGATTCAGCTGATTAGCTGTTATCCCGCCGCTAATATGCTGAGCCGACTGCTCGACGACCTAGCAATAAATTAGTTTAACTAAGGAATGTATAAAAATATGTGTAACACTTAGAAATGTGAAAACTTGTAGATGAAACAAGAAGAATTACTAAGACGTCTACGTGAACAGCTGACGCCACCTGTCTGATAAAACTGAAAGCCCCAACTTTAAATGCTGAAATGTAAGTCACACTTCAAAAGGAAAAATTTTTAAATTTTAAATTACAGTCAGAAACAGTACATCTGGCAGTATCGTCGCGTCGCTCATTTTTCTTCAGAAACAAAACTCGATGACACCCTGGAACGAACGGAATTAAGATAAAAGAAGTAAAGATGAAAAGTTTTAAATACTTAACAGAGGAAGACCACAGTGACTTCGTCACTAACAAACCCCAACAGAATTGTAAAATAATCAACTACAGCAACCATAAGCAGTTAATAAAAATTATGACCTAAACCATACAAATGAAATCTAGTGATCTATTGTTCATCACTCTTTTACACCCTTAATTTTATAACTTCTCGTTGCTTCGCAACTTTTACTCCGCTTCGAATCACGAGTAAAGAGCGATAAAATAAAATTTAGAACCAAAAAGCCGTTACCGAGAAGCAAAAATTATCACACAATAAATTATATGCGCTTCAAGAATAAACTAACTCCTCGTCAACAAAACCGAATAATTGAAATTGCTGATAAGGAGATTCACTGATTATGCTATAACCGTAAGAAACTTTCCATAGACTGTATCATTTATAAACAATAATAAATGTACCAAAACCAACTTCACTCAAGTTTAGTTAATTATTAATTCCTGAATTTGATACTCCAGCAGTGTCTGACCTGTATAAACAATTATAAGCAACAGCTAAAATTGATGATAGACAAATCAAAAAATGGAAATATGAAAATACCTCAAGTTCACCATAGCGAAAAAAAGAAGCAGTCATCCGAAAGTCTAAACCACTAAAAAATACGTGCTGAAAAAAAGCTACATGTGGTATGCAGAATCTTGTTATTTCAACCAATAGATGTTTTATATAAAAATATTATAGCCAGGAAAAAGTCGAATAATGCTAGTTTAGAAGTACCGAGTCCTATCAACTTCTCGACACAAACAATAATTATCTGACTATTTATCCAAAAAATGTAAACTCTTTTGACTTTTAGACACTGTATGGAATCAGTCAGACGGACCATCCGATCGATCGCTCTCCTGGGCTTATTGGCTTGATTTTCGCAAAAGCAAAAATTGATCTTTGAAAACCAATTGCTGATGTATAGAACTCTGCATTTTGAGCTAATTTTTTTTTTAAAATCATTAATAAGCCAGCTTAAAACACCTCTCCGCTACGATCAGTAAGCTTCAGTAGGGAATGTCTGGTGGTCGATGGATAATGTAGTGTTGCTGAATGACGAAATTGCCGAAGAAGGAAAAAAGAGGGCCTATTTCCTATTATAATTAACTTCCTTTACTGCGCCCACCCTTGCAAATTTTGTCATATACAAATTAATTTATGAACAACACTACCTCAAGCAACTTCTCTATCCATTCAGGAAACCTTACAGTTAGTAGGTACGAGCTCAATGCGAACTCGGTAAGAACTAAATAAAAACCTTTTTCATTCGTAATAAACACCCATTTCCTTAAAAATATGTACTAAAAAACTCAAAAATTGGACACAAGTTGCCTAAGATGCAAACTATTACTGGTAAAAAAAACAGTGGATACCCATCATCAAAAAAATGTAGCAACTTCCATTACAACCAATTACATTAAAAACGAGTAAACAAAGCAGGAATACCAATTACTACAACTTCACTCAACAATCACACAGGGAATTGAATTTCACGAGGATACCCAGGAGGGTAATAGGCACAAATGGGCCACACCTACTGGTTAAGCCATAAAAAAATTACATCTCTCTGTCTTGATATATCAAATGAAATCTTCGAAAATGAAAAATAAAGAAGTTAGCGAAGTGTCTAACCATTCTGTTCGGCTTTCTGATTAATTTCTGCCGGTTTGTACCGTGGCGTTCGGATTCATTACCCACTTGATTTAATCCAAGTTTTTATTTCCGTTGGAGAAAGGCTCTTATTCATTTATTTTTTTTTTTTATTTTTTTGTCTTCAAAAGGACTTCGCTCTCCCTCCCCCTCACTCTTCATATATCACTAGTGAACGCTTACTTGCAGACTGCAAGAGTTCACCTTAAAAAATAAGTTAACAAAGTGAGATTTGGCAAAAGCAATTGTTACAACTTCAGTCAGCAGTAATATAACACGTAAAAACTTGTCGAGAAGAAACAGAGGTATAACTCAAAATATGAATTTCTGACGATCACCTGTTATATGAAAAACCATCTCGGGAACACCACTGCAGAAAAAAACCCAAAAAAAACGTGATGGAAAAACACACAAGAAAAACCGCTATTCTCTAGTAACCAGAAGAACATACTATCAATGTAAAAATTCAACATGGCCCCTCTAGGACTGTAACTATAAGCACAAAAAATAACCTCGAAAAAAGGTTCAAAGGAAACTTGACATCCTGGCTCCAAGCCAATATTCAAGGAATCTATATGAATCCTAATTAACACTTATCTTACACTACTAGAAGCGTTAAAGCCAAATTTGCCGGCTGACTGCCGTGGGGAACGACCTCGTCGGCTATTTCACCTCATTGGCAAAACTCCACCGGAGTACGACGCTTAACAGTTGTTGCTGGCCTATACACTCTGTCTGAACTTTCCAGAACATTATCACCTCAAGACACAAAATTATCAACTGTCGCTTGATTCTTTCTGATTCAGATGGATTTTTGCAGAAGCGAGAATCATACCCTTATCACTAGTATCATTAAATCCGGACTTTTCATCCAATTTTTTTCTTTTAGTTAAGGTGCCTCGAGTACCGACCCTATTGTAGTTCACGATGCTCAGCTCAAAAGTTTTGATTTACTATTAGGGTAAAATTAGTGGTGGACAGAAATTCCTGATGACTTCAAGACCCCTATTCAAAATCAGGAGAGGAGGATTTTTTGTGAAATCAAGGACATCAAACGAGCAGGTGGAGGATTGAAAGGGAACGAGGAGAGAGAAGAAAAAAGGTATTTTGACAAAACCTTAAAGACCCATATAGTTATGTAATTTTCCTACCTCCCAGCAGTTTTGCAAAAAGCACTTCTGGACACAAAATACTTGAGATACACACAGTCAACATTCAGTAAACGCGATGCACTGATACCTATAGACTATATCGTGAAAGTTCAGGAATATAACGGCGTTTTCTCTTTTTATCTCCATCTCGATTGAATGAGGCAAAAAGCATTGGTGAACTGAGTCGACGGAAGCTTCAAATTTTAAAAAACCAGCATACTGTGTGCGATTTCACTCAATACCTACAGACTTTAGCATACTAGCCTTGGCTTCTACCAGATTTAGGCCAAGACCCGGTCATTTGTTACGAGTAGCACTGCTCGTTTAAAAAAATCCAGTGAAAAGTAACGGAAAAGGTTGTGCGTATAAGCATCGGAAGTGAGATGGTAGATACGTTAGATGAGGTACCAAAATAAAATGACAGAAGTAATGTCGTGACACTGTCAAAAAGTTTTTTGATCCTTAATTCCAACTTATTTCAATTACAATGTTCCATTTTTCCGGTTCTCATTTCAAGTGCTTGTGGTCGCACTTCAGCTCAAGTAGTGCAGTACCGCTTTTTCACTGGTGTAACAATTTTGTAAATGAAGCGATTCTAATAAATTACACTTTTTCTTGTTTTGGCTCTGCAGCGATTCTTATTGAGTTTTTCTGTAGGAACTTTGACGTCGTATCATTTCAAGTTCTCTTATTTATGTGTTACTTAAATTGTACCTAGGACTTGTCATATTCCTAGTTTTTTTTTAATTCGTGCGTCGTTACTTCTTTGGCGGAAAATAGCAGTTTTAAAGCAATTGGAATAACAAGCAGCCTGATGTTAAAGAAGACTACCGCGGAAGTGGACAGCTTCAGAGAAATCTCTGTGTTCAACTGGAAGATATGAGAGCGGATAGCTATGGAAGAATCTAGTACCCTCTTTACATAGTAACAACAAGGACTCACCAGACTCAAGAATAAAGCTAGAAGACTCTGAAACTATAAGAAATTAAAAGTGGCTTGCGAAGGCATCATGGTTGAATGATGACCTAATTGGGAAGGCCCTTTACAAAGAAAGCCACTATCTAGTTCACTAAGTGCCTCACCAGCCAATGGTAAAAAAGACCAAGCCACCAATTAGACAAGAATCGGGTTCGACGCTTTCTCAATGCAAACTTTTTACTCAGCAAAGTGTTCCTTAGAGGACCAATACTCCTCCCTCCTACCTTGACCTTGCTGGTACAAAGCTGTAGGGATAGACGGCATTGAGAAGGCATCCCTCAATAATGGCTTACAAATGAAGAATCGAGACACCACGGGATTTCTTTAGGAGAAGAAGTCCTTGAAATCCGACAACCTTATCATCTTTCGGTTTCGAAGAATTCCATTTAGAATCATCAGGAGTCACCAAAACTCATCTAAAAAGAAATAAAGTGCACTAACGGAAGAATTCATTAAGAAAACTCACGTAAATAATACTCCACTCCTTACTAATTTTGCAGCAGGAACAGAAGAGAAAGCAAGCAAGACAAGCAAGAAACCTGTTTCATCTCTCAAACATTAATCTATGCGAATTATCCTCCGACAATCAAACAGTACAAAAACGCCTTGAAGAATCTGAAACGTTGAAGTGGAGTGGTCAGGATTCCTTTGGCGTTCCCTGAAACGCGAAAATAGATTACTTAAAAATTAGTCTTTTCCTCAACTGAAATTTGCAACCGCATTTTCATAACGAAAGCTGCCGAAAATTTTTACAAAATCGTACGACCTCGTAACACCACTCATGTTACTTCAAAAACTTTTGCGGCAGGGGTAGCGAAAAAAAAATTAGGACGAGCTAATGAATGGGGAAAATACAAATCAGTTCAAGCTCGTCTTCGATGAACGAAGTGTTCAACAGTTCATCACCCCAAATAGGATCTTTGGAGTAACTGAGGTGTATCAAGCAACTGCAGAACTACCCGCCTTTCTAGACACGTCATAAACGCGCATCAGGTAGCAGTACATCTGAGAAAAGGAAAAGGAACTTTTTACGCTGCAGCACTGATTATTCCAAAAAGCCGAATTTTTTTGCAAATTCGAGCTGACAGCAGCCTTAATTTGAATGCACTTTACTAAATCTTGTGTGACAATGACTAGAGTTCAATAAGCAAGCATATTTGTGGTCTGGCTTACAATGTACCCTAGCCTGGATAAAAAAGAACACATCTTCTACAGTTTGTATCTAATCTAATTAGAGAGATCAAAATGACCTTGTCTGCACTTCTCTGCGTTTTATCTGCTGAGTGTTTCGCTGATATTGTTTCCAGCAGAGCAGCATAAAATATTTTGAAGAATTTTCATATGCGGTAATGAGATCTGTTTTCAAAAGAAGCCTTGAAGGATAGGCCTGTATGCATACATGGAAAATAAAACGAAATAAAATCTACAGAACAGGTAATGACGACAGGGTTTGAGGCAGAAGTCTCATTGAATTTTAAAGGATAAATCTCTATGGGAAACTTTTCCGTGCTCCTGCATGGAAATTACGATTTCTAAATGCAAACTGTCATATATCAGTACAACCCGAAAGGAAGACCACAGATGTGCCCGGAACTGTTACAGCAAAAAAGAAACCTGCAAAACACCTAAAGAGAATTTTGTAAGGAAATACAAAAGTATTCAGGAAAACAGGTCACATCACTGCCACATCGAAACCCGACACTCGCTTCTAAACCCGATAGCTATTCGTCCGATCTTGCTACTCCAAAACAGTTCCGTTGCGGAGCTGATAATACTGAATACTTGTTTACAGTTAACGTATTTTGGAACCCT